GTCATCGAATTTAAACTTATAAATATTTTATTTATTTATTTTTCCTTTTCCACTTTTTAAAATATTTAACATTAAGATACACTGATCAGGTGATATACAGGAAATCAGTGTTACAGGCTGCTTAAAAAATATAGTCCTAGTTTTTCAGTTTCACTCTACTTGCGGTTTTCTGTTTTGTGTAAAAATTCCAAACATATGTAATGGTAATAATTCATTAAAAATTTAATGCATTTGTAAAACATAGATGTTTTAGACTTGTACCTTCATACACATATTAATAAATTAAATCCTGGGTTATGACAAGTAATTTTTTAATTATAAGTGAGTAAATTGTGTTGCAAGAATGAAATATTTTAAGAAAACCTTTTTCATTCTAGTTTAATATTAAAAACAACAAGTTTACAAAAAAGATAAATAGTGCAATAAAAATAACTCTTCTGATCCCCACGAGATGGCAGGACTGGCAAAGGTTATTCGAAACTAGCCTAATTGGACGGAAATACTATTTGAAGCACATTGTATTTGAAAATTAGTATATAGCGAGCCTTTAAGATATACAGTTTTTTTTAGAGTTCCTTTTCAATTTTCTTCGTGATATTTCAATTTTCGTTTTTATCCTAGATCAAATTCTCTTATCACGCACACGAACAATTTTCCAACAATACCTACAAAACAGATGTTATGTTCACGAGGAAAGCAAAACCAAGGGTGATTAAAGGATAAAGAAACGCATCCTCTATTAAACGTTACTCACCAACGTACTTATAAAAATATATATATGAAGAAGAATAAAGATAACTTTCTAGAGATTAATGGGCTTGCATCTGAATACTCTATAAGCTAGGACTAACATGATATAACTACTGGAAAAACTTTACATTCTCGCAAGGACTTTTTCAATATTTCATTTTTACGCAACTGTTAATTGAAGAAAAAATACTTTCTTTTCTGATTTTTTTCTCCTAATGACTATTCAGAGTATCTAATGAAATGGTACAGAAAACCCAACTATAAAAAGGAGATATTCTAAAGTAAGATTGACACTCCAGACCAAGCCACGAACAAGAACAATCAGAGAGATTGAATACCCTCGTCCCGCCGCTCCTTTTCGAAATTGCATGTGTTTACATTGGATAACGTCAAGATTCAGCTTCAAAAACTCAGAAAATCCTTCTCATATCCAGAGTGATTAACAATCCGGATCCTTTTTTGCAGTGTGATGAGGAGCCTCAACCTTAATTTGGGACAAATCCGATCACACTTTACAGAGTTATTAACCCAAAACCGCGAAAATGACATATCTACCCATTATAAAAAAACTACTTCAAAGTGACCCAGAATTCAGATCTAAATTTGGGGAGGACTGTTCTATACGGACTGTCCATTTTGTGTAGAAGACAGACACACGGGCTCTTCCTTACCGTTTCAGGTGCAATGCGTCCAGCAGTTCAAGGTCGGGATCAATGTATATTACTGCAGCGTCATCTGGTGGATAATTTCACGACTCATTATTAAATCAGTTTTCATATGAAACAAATATTTGTATCAAAAGCTCAAAAGATCATAGGCTTTAGACCTAAATTTTTATGAGAATTTAATCGCTTGGTTTTACAACCAATCAGCTTTAAGTAACCGTTGTATGAAAAGTCAGTTGACTGAATAAAAAGTTTTTTTTGGGGGGGGGGGTGTTATAAGATTAAGTGGGATAACTTAGGATAACAGTCATAAATCTCTCTCATTGGACATGATTAACATTTGTTAGCGAGTGTTGATCTGAACGTTATCAACAGTTTTCTGTTGTAGATGTCACCTCAGTAAACGTGAATTATTAGATATTACTTCGTGTAATTACAGCTATAATAAGTTAACAAAAAACCCACAACAAATTACTTCTTTTTTCATCTTTCATTATTCAAATTGATTATTTTTAATTATATCCTTAGTTTCACTCTGTCGAACTGTATATTCTAAATGTTTTTGTGACCAAGACATTTTTCACAGCTCTGTGGTCCCCATGCTAATACAAATATCTATAGGCACAAGGCTATCTGGTGTTTAGATGAGGAACCGTTTATCAGACTCAGATCAACCTATACGAAACAACAACAAAAACTCATTCATAACTTTTTTCAAACACACATAAATATCCACAGTTAAAACGACAGAATCTCAACTTGATAAAAAATATATTTTAAAACCTTACAAATCTAGATGTTAATAATGTACGTAAACATAAAGTAAATGAAATAAACAATAACTTTATCAACCTGTACTAACGATTACAGAGGAACTGAATAAGTTCGTTACTTTATACTAACGATTAAATCAGCGTTACTTACTAACGATTACAGAGGAACTGAATCAGTTCGTTACTTTATACTAACGATTACAGAGGAACTGAATCAGTTCGTTACTCTGTAGTAACATTTATAGACAGATTGAATCAGTTCGTTATTCTATACTAACGATTACAGAGGAACTGAATCAGTTCGTTACTCTATAGTAACATTTATAAAGAGATTGAATCAGTTCGTTACTCTATACTAACGATTACAGAGGAACTGAATCAGTGCGTTACTCTACACTAACATTTATAGAGAGATTGAATCAGTGCGTTACTCTACACTAACATTTATAGAGAGATTGAATCAGTTCGTTAGTCTACACTAACATTTATAGAGAGATTGAATCAGTTCGTTACTCTACACTAACATTTATAGAGAGAGATTGAATCAGTTCGTTACTCTACACTAACATTTATAGAGAGATTGAATCAGTTCGTTACTCTACACTAACATTTATAGAGAGATTGAATCAGTGCGTTACTCTACACTAACATTTATAGAGAGATTGAATCAGTGCGTTACTCTATACTAACATTTATAGAGAGATTGAATCAGTTCGCTACTCTACACTAACATTTATATAGAGGTTGAATCAGTTCCTTACTCTAAACTAATAAGGTCCTATATCCTCTAACCTTTTTTTATCACAAACTAAGTAACCGTCATGCCTAATTAAATGACCCCTAAACAAAGCGATTATTAACTGACCACGAATATCAAACCAACTAGCTTGAAGCATCTTTAAAAAATTGACCAACCAATGGACAGAAAATTCTCGACGAAATGAATACAAATAACTTAAAAACTAACGAACCAGCTGATAATAACAAGTATATAACAGTACACCTAGCTAGTTATTAAACATCTGACCACTAATGCCTAATCGTGTAACCTAAATGACCTCAGGTTGACTGTTTGACCCCTAACCAGCTATATGCCTTTCACAGCGAGAGATAACATTGAAAAGAGTAAGAAATAATGTTGTAGTTAGTGGAAATATATGTATACCTTACAATTAGTGGAAATAGATATATACCTTATAATTAGTGGAAATAGATATATACCTTACAATTAGTGAAAATACATGTATACCTTACAATTAGTGGAAATAGATGTATACCTTATAATTAGTGGAAATAGATGTATACCTTACAATTAGTGGAAATAGATGTATACCTTATAATTAGTGGAAATAGATGTATACCTTACAGTTAGTGGAAATACATGTATACCTTATAATTAGTGGAAATAGGTGTATACCTTATAATTAGTGGAAATAGATATATACCTTACAATTAGTGGACATACATGTATACCTTACAATTAGTGGAAATAGGTGTATACCTTATAATTAGTGAAAATAGATGTATACCTTTAATTAGTGGAAATACATGTATACTTTAGAATTAGTGATGTAATAAGATATAACATTGTCCAACTGACAAGAATAAGAGATAACATTGTCCAACTGACAACAATAAGAGATAACATTGTCCAACTGACAACAATAAGAGATAACATTGTCCAACTGACAACAATAAGAGATAACATTGTCCAACTGACAACAATAAGATATAACATTGTACAACTGACAACAATAAAAGATAACATTGTACAACTGACAACAATAAGATATAACATTGTATATCTTACAACAAAGAGAAGAAACATTGTACAACTGATAATTATAAGAAAAAAAACACTTTCTTGCTCAATACAACAAGAAAGAACATTACCTACTTTGAATATCTTGATATCATACGTTTGAGAACGCACTTACCGAACGTAGTGGCCACACGATGAGTCCGGAACTCGTAATTGGCCTGAGTGACTCCACCATCTCCACGAGCGGTCACTAGGAGTTGGTAAACTTCTCCTGGTTTCAGAAACGGGATATTAAATTTTTTGTTGCCATAAGAAACCTGATGTGAAATGTTGTGCCATCTGTGCTGTGTTTTTGGTTTGTACGACACCGTGAAGTTTCTAATGGGACAGCCGCCATCTTGCCATGTGGTCAATAGGAGGATTACTGAAGTACCGTGAACTTCCAGAAACACATCTTTCAGAGGAGGGACAGGCGCTAGAACCAGTAAGAAAAACACTAATTGGAATAGTAAGCAATGAACGACGTTGGACTTTTCTTATAACTTAAAACTTGGGAAGACTTCATACAACTTATGTGCTGCTTTGAGTTTGATTGACTCACGACGTTTCTATGGTTACTTTGAGTTTGTTCGACTTCCCCTCACGGCGTTTAAATGGTTAAACCTTGTTATACTAGGAGGAGAACATGGAAAAATACAAAATATAGTTCCGTGTATTTTATGAACAAAATAAGAATAACAACGTGATGAATTACAGCGGGTCATTATAATTTCTCGACAAATCACGTGTAACAGTTAGGTATAATATCTATGTGTCTTGGGTCCGTTTTACTTCACTATCTTTTAACCTAAATCAATGTGAATAACGTTACGACATATCGTCGAATTCATTATTGAATATTATACAGCGGATCAACTGTTTAATGATTGTATATATGTGCTGAAGATAATATTATACAGCGGATCAACTGTTTAATTATTGTATATATGTGTTAAGGATAATATTATACAGCGGACCAACTGTTTAATGATTGTATATATGTGTTGAAGATAATATTATACAGCGGATCAACTGTTTAATTATTGTATATATGTGTTAAAGATAATATTATACAGCGGATCAACTGTTTAATGATTGTATATATGTGTTAAGGATAATA